ACACACACACACTATATAATATTATACATGTGTAGGAACCTGCAGCAGCCATTATGTTATATTATATTATGTTACAATATTTTAGAAGCGTGTAGTACGCGTCTTCATAATATAATAATGCATACTATACATCTTGTATTCACCACCACCATGACCACGACCACCACCTGTATGACATGCATCCCGGCGATGTAAAGAATTTCTGAAAACTCTCCTTAAAAGATCCGTTACGCGCGGGTCGTATTGAATTTGCATTCCAATATCTAACCACCCCCGACCACAACCCAACAGTTCCCGCGTCATTACACGTCGTTGAACTATTTATTTTTATCTGCGATTCTAGGTCGAATGCCACCCGTCGGCTTTTAGGGATGAACAATCGATACCTGTTGTAGAATGTGCGCATAATTCCCGCCCATAATAGGTACATATTATTATTATTATTATTATTATTATTATTATTATTATATTATGATCGTGCGGGGTTATATATTTTCTATATACTGTGCGTTAAACTTCTTTTTTTGAAATAAAGGGGACAAAAAAAGATTATCACCCATCACGGTTGACTGTGACGGTTGTTCGTCTGTCACGACACTATGGTTTCTATATGGCAGTAATAATAAATAATAATCTTTGTATAATAATAATAAATGAATATCAATTGAAAATTTTATTTTTTTATCTTATTCCAATAAAATAAAATATTATTATCCCACTTTGATGCTAACTTTGACGGGCAATAATATCTTTTATTCGTACTCTCTGCAAAGAAGTTTCACCGTATCCACGCTATTCGCAGTACGTACATTTTTTTTTTAAATTCCAGTAACACATTAATTCATGAGAAATCTTTTATTAAATGTTCAGGCTTTAAGCGTCGAAATTAAACATCTTTTGAGTTTTGATATTGAAAACGTATTTGTACTTCTTACCTATAAATTATATAACACATAATATTATTTACTTTAGAGTTTAGACTGTACTAATAACTTTTTTTACATTATTGATAGGTAGAAGCGTTCTGTGTTTTCGCATAATATAAAAAATTCGATTTTTTTTAAGACTAAGTTTAATAAGTACATATTTTGTAGTAACGAGGATGTAAATGAAACCAAACGAGTGATTCAAACTTGTTTTCGAAATTCATATCGCTTAATTAAATAAATCAGTATTCAGTAGGTTGGAGTGAAAATATCTGTTTTTAGGGCGAATAGTTTTATTTTAAATACCTCAGTCTGCAGTGTGCAACCAAATGATTTCTGTAAAAAAAAAAAAAATGTATATTACACAGCACAGTCATCGTGTGTGTTCAGCTGCAGAATTTAACACGACGTTTACGAATAACAACGATGTGTTACGCGTCTTTCGATTATGATTTACAGAATTATCATAAATGCGGTTGACCGTTACCCGTTTTGTTTCTTTCTTATTCGAAAAGACATATATATTTTTTTTTTAATGATCATACGATGACACGTTGTGCCTGTCTCGTTAGCAGCTTCGGGTGTGCCAGCCGGCTGCAGTTTGAGCAACAGAGTAAAAGTACTATTATTATTATTCGATATTTTCGGTCGCGTATATGACATATAATATAGGTTTCGGAAGTTGCATTTGCATGTTTTTTTTTGGACTGTTAGATTTATTGCTAAGTGAGCTAGAAATTCATTCTAAGACACTGCGAAAAACAAATCAAAAGTTTATAGTGCATATTTTTGCATATTTAATGATTTTTAGAGTTTAGAGCATAATTCTTAATTTTACATTTTTTTAGAGTATATTTTGTAAATTATAATATATGAAGATTCGTAAATAAAAAAAAATAGATTCATATTGATAGAATTTATTAGGTATTCTTGTATCGTATTTTTTAAATTTCCATTTGGCATTAAAAACAATGTTTTTCCTCTATTGGTTAATATAATGTATAAATATTTATAAATCATAACTACAGCCTGCTTTATATAAAATATGATATGATATAAATATTAAATAAATATAAAATAGAAACAGCTGCAATTGAAATACAATGATTTCCTATAAATACTTTCCTAGGGAAATAATTCAATGATTATTGTTGATGGGCTGATGGCATTAATAGACTTACTGCCGAAATAGTGTTGTCAGTTCCGACTTATACGTATTTATTTTATCCAAGGAACATTTTGGAGGCATTTTTATATAATTTTTTTGTTGTTTAAATTATGATCAAAAATTAAAAATCAAAATTAGTTTTAACACTTTGTTTTTTCCCATATTTATAATTTTATAAAATATTTCTGCAAATGAAAATTTTGTGTAAAAAAATAAAATACAAGTGCACATTTTTAGAGCAAATTTGTACTTTTTTTAAGCGCATAAGAGCATGCATATTTAGTACTTTTTAAGTGCATTGAGTTCCGAGCCCTACATGTAAACATTAAACACACTGCACAGGAGAAATAAAGCTTAATCTTTTGTGAATTATTAGCGATTTAAATTTAAATTCCTATACAATTATTTATTTATTACGAAAATTGATGTCTTATTTTATTTTCATACCAACAAACCAAATAAGTAGACGCGTATCCTAGCGTGGGGAGTGCCCACGTGAACACAACTCTGATATTTCAGCGTACCGTAAATGTAAAATAATACATCCGTTTTAGCTTCTTGTCGAAGATTAAAAGATATTGATTTTATGTCTGGTTTTATTGTTTCGTTTAACGTACTCGCAGCGTCCCTGTATACATATAATAATATACACTTTCCACAGATAATATCTTAACGGATCCATCTGATTTTTCCGGTCGGGTTTGTTCGGTGAAAAAATTAAAAAAACACCAAACCCATCTGTTCGTAAATTATAATAATATACTACGATCGCCGTAATGGTTTTCTCCGTAATAGTTTGACACCAGATGTACGTGTATGACATAAACAAAACAAAACGCATTTGCATATAACTACCTCATCGATTATTCAATTACTTCATCTGAAACAGAGATCGATGAATTTGTACTCTATTTTTTAGTCTAATAATATGGTTTCCAATCACTATAATATTTACATTGTATACCTACATTTTGTCAAAAAGTTAACCCCGCGGAGCAGCCTATGGCTAATAAATATATAAAAATTCGATTTTTTTTCAGCGAAGCTCAATAAGAAAATTCCGATTAAATTCAATTTACAAATATAAATATTAAATACATAATAATATTATGCGTAAAATTTAATTTTTGAAATATTCGAAATAATTATTGTTATAAGTATTTGATTTTGAGAGGGTAAAATGTTTACAACTTGCAAGACTTATACATACCTGCAATAGCCAATAATCAATATGACATGTGTGTAAACAATTAAAAACAATCGCATATTTTGTATAAACCAATTCTCTTTAGTAATGAAGCTTTACGATAACCCGTATTTATAATACACAGAGGTTTTCGTGCAATTTAAAATCAATTTCCTTTTTTTCCAAAAAAAAATGTATATGAACCGACAATGTTTCATTCCCCAGGGGTTACGGCTTACATTCGTTTGGTAAATGTACGAAGAATTACGTACTTGGAGTGCATAGTTGTAGAGCCCCAAAGAGTAATACACTTAGGTCATCGAAATCCTGGCCCTGCTGATTATCTTATTCATGATCATGCGCTTGCTACAAATACCTAGGCATTCGATTAAATCGCTAGGCACACCGCTTGTTATAATTTCACGATCAGTATAACCGACGGACGACCACCAAAAGAGGTTACTAAGTATATATATTTACATTTTTTATTAAATTCTACAACCTTCGGTATAAGCAATAATGATGACTATGATCACCTATCGATTTGACCGAATGATGCGTGTGAACGAGGCGCAATGTATACCGTCAACGTATTATCAACGTTTTAATCAAAGAATTATTTTAGACGATTTTACGGTACCCGTTTCCTGCGCATAACGACTTCCGATGATGATTCAATTCACCCAAAGTACCAAACACGTCAAGGCTCCAAACCAATATAAATGATATTGAACTGATAGGAACAAAAAATAACGTAGAATTATTTAAACATTGCAATAGAATTTTATTATGTTAATCGTTAGTGTATAAATACCGTATAAAATAAAGTACTCTGTTATAACATTACAGGTAGATATGACGAAAATAATGATCGTTGATTGTTGATAAGTAGACAAAATAGTGATAGACCGTTATCCGTTTCTGATATCCTATGAATATATTACTAGAGACTACGGAAAATTCAATACTGACCGAAGTGACCTTAAATGCGATTCAAAAATATATATATACCTACTTATATTCTTATGCACAACTACGAGACTTTGAAAAAATGTACATTATCTAGAACACGTATGATGTAATGCCAGCCTAGTTAGTAAGAACTCCGAAGGGCGTCTTAGGTTTTCGGGAATGATATGATATAGGTACCTACGGTTAAATACTAAATATAAATATTAGATACCTAGTGTAAAATTAGTTTAATACGGACGACCTTAAAAAAATTCATGGATTGTAGTCTTTGAAAAGGCCTACTAAATTTTTAAATTTTGAAACAATTTACCGATTGTTGTACGCCGACTGGAAATCTAGTATTGCTGCCGAATAAGAGGGGTTGTTACGCCCAACTTTCCACACACTACCCCGGTTCATCCCCGTGCAGACTCTCTGAACTCTAATAATTGGACATCTATTTTATGTTTTATAAAAAATATTGTAGTAAGCTTGTTAAAAAGTATGAATTCAAAGTCAAAACTATTTTTAAACTGTTTTGAGTAAATATTTTTTTCATAATATTTTCTTTAAACTTGGAGAGTCAAATGTATTGTCTGTTAACTATTTATTACTAACTTAACGACCGGGTCACTCAACTTGAGTTAATTATTTTTGGTTCATTGGATGGTTTTTCTTCAGATATTTAGTTCAGCCGCTCGATGTCTCTAAAGTATAATACCATAATTTGTGATTTACAGGCAGACCGTAGAAACGCGTCGGGCGTGGCTGGCGTCAAGTCATTTGAGACGACCGGACCGGACAACCTACAGCTTCCGGAACAACTTCCGGCCCAGTACCAAGAGATGATGCGCACTTGGTTGGTGCACCGGAGCTCGTGTCCGGTCGAATACGGGTGGGTGGACCTGGGCAAGTCATTTTGGCCCAGGTGGATAAAACAGGGTCGCTGCGGTCGTTCAGAAACGATGAGCTGCAGTTGGCCGCCGGGCATGTCATGTATGCCTTCGTCCATCAGAGTACTCAACCTGTTGCGGTGGCATTGTTGGTCAGTTGTTTAATCTAAAATTGAATAATATTTATATATTATAGTTTAGGTTAGGTCAATTTTTGCTCAAAAGGAAAAAATCTCATTTTTGCGACGGTGAAATATTTTAATTAAAACATTATTTTTGTTTTCCATTGCCTACGCAGAAAATTCATCTGTGCATATAGATTAAAGATTGAAACAAAACTACGTACTTGAAACATTTAATGTATTTTATAATTTATTTCATACACATAAAGATATTTTTAAATGCAACGTTTAGGGTAAAAATTAATTCAACCTAAGGGTTTTACCAATATAGTAAAATAAATGTCTACTACTAATTACTACTATAATTACAATAATATCATAAAATATACATTTCATGCTCACCAACATTGTGAAAATAGTTTTCTGTTGTTTCGAGTTATGAAATTAAAAATATAACATTAGGAATATTTTAAAGCTACAAAATCATTATTACAAAAAGTTTTTTTTTTTTCAAAGTCATATTAGTTGAAGCACTAAAAAACTGTCTAATATATATCGCATAATACATTCTTATAACACATAAAAGTTTGACGAAGACAATAATAATTATTGGCTCACAATAAAATTTTTTCAATGTTCTCATGACTGCGAAGGAACAAAGAGTCAAGAGATTGATCATAATGATATTCATGACATTTAATATTTTACATAAACAGGTTAAAGCATTAATAAATATTACTTAAATTTGTTTAATATAATAATATATTTGTAGCATTTCTTACAAAAGTTATGATATATTGACACAATCCCTCTACGTAATGTTATAAAATTTTGAACGTAGAGTACGATATGTTTTTTAATCAGAATCTATTCAAAAAATGTAAGCCGCTTACTAACAAAACACCTGCATTCACCTGTATCTTGTTAATAAAAATTATTAATTTTAGGTTAAAAAACAGAAAAAATAAGAAGAAAAATCGGGAGAGATTGGAATTGGCGTTCAACAAGACGAGAGGGCACGGGGCAAGAGGCAGGAGAGCCGTCGGTCAGAGGAAAAGTAAAAAAAAGGACGATAAGTTCAGATGTCTGTGGATTAAAGTCCCATATCCTGTGACTGAAGACTGTACGTGTTCGTGTAGAAAACTTGATGAATAATCTAAACAAAACGATTGCAAATCTATAGTGTCACGCAGTTCAATCTTTTAATTCCGTTCCTGGACGGATGAAATACTATAATAATAAATTACTTTTTCAAAATTAAAATAAAAATAATTCATCAACCTGAATATATTATTGCATTACTGAACTTTTTGTTATTAGAAATTATAAAATGTGATACTGAAACATACGTTGTGAATTATTGTAGGTATTTTTTTATTAACTTTTTCTCGTATCGAACGTATCATCTTTCGACTTGCCTTTAAATATTGTATTAGCCCGGTTAGTGCATACAGTAAAATATGACAGTAACACTTTTGGCTGTATAATGATAATTTTAAGTAAGAATTGGAAGAACGATGGTGTACACAGGATTATAAGGCACACATTTTTTTCTGAACAAAAATTAACAACGTTTTTAAACATTTTTTTCTATTTTACTTTTTGGAGCCTACTAGCGTTAGTCGTTACCCAAAACATACCTCGTAGAAGTTGGCTCTTACATAATAGTTGATTAAGTTATAAATAAAAAAGGTGACACTCAATAATTATAGTTTGCAACATGAATTTTAAAATTCTAACTTGTTAGATTTTGGGTATTTGTGTCCAAACGTCCACCGCCAACAACAATAATTATGCTGCGATTGCTAACTTATAATATAATATGTTTCTTTTTTCCTTTTTTGATTTTATATTTATATCAAAACCGAATGTCAAAGGTTTTCACATAAACATTAACTAAGTATTTCACAACGATTCTCATATTAACGAATTAAAAATTAGTTTATGAAGTGTTATCGCATTATTGGTCACAGCGTTTGAATTGGAGAGAGAACAGAGAGAGAGAGTTTTTTTAAAAATAATAATTAGCTTACCCCTTTTAATATTATATCCTAGATAATCAATTAGAAATTTAAATAGACAAGTATTGTTTTGTATAATATAATATAATATAATATAATATAAAATAAATTTCTATAATTTTGAATCTCCTTTCAATTGTTTTAGGCAAAAGCACTGTTAATATTAGCTGAATTGTGTCGTAAAAGCCGATTACTAATACTAATAGAGACACGCACTATATTTTAAAATTATTAAATACTGTTTTTTTCTATACTGTGGCCTCATAGGTGATTAATACTAAAGAAGTAACTTTTGTGATAACTCCTATATATTATCATCTAATGATGTAGCTAACATAGTTTTCTATTTCGCTACATGTATTTTTTACTAAAACTTACTGACTAAGCTTAATGCTAAATTTTGTAACAAATCATGTTTTCTTAACCTAGTTTCAAATCTAAACACGTGTATATGTTGCGAAAGGTAACAAAACAACATTAAATAATATATACCCTGACTTCAAGTGTATATTATTATGAATAATATTTTTTTTTAAACTGCGTGATTATTAGCCGGTGTTGCATTATTTATATTGGAAATAAATTGAATTTCCATAACATTTAATTTCATTACACTATACGTCTTCATTAGACTACAATATTAAATGAAATGCAATTATATTGATGAATGGTGAAACCTCTAGAAAAATTGTTTTAAAATCAATAATAAATCATATTATATTATACTACAATTATTATACAGAACTTAATAGCCGGATGGCTATGATTTGAAATTCGTACCATGACATAATATGACGTATGATTAGTTGAGGAAAATAAAATATAAATTAATGGTTATTTATATGTATATAGTTTAGATTTTAGACAATTATAAGTATATACCTACATAGTTACTAGGGTGGAAGATTTTTTCTGGCATGTGAATACTTGTTTTGTTTTGTGTAAAAATATATCAGTTTGATACAAATTTTTTGCTATAAGTTATGTCGAATATACAAATCTGTAATTGTAATAGATAGGTATATCAATTTTTTTGAATTTGGGTTACATTTAGGTTAATTGTTGCTCTTTTTTTGCTTAAATTTTTTAATAATATCTACCAAAACATAAATTCATTATTCTATAATTTAAAATAACCATTTAACAATCAATCTGTGTAATTCTATTATATTTTTCTAAGTCAATAAAATAAAAGTCACCGTTTCATTTATATAAAAAGTTATATTTATTATAATAATTCTTGGCAATCGCTTGATATGTAATTAAATTAGGTCATGGAATTGGTACTTTTTTAGGGCTATAATGGTACACTACCTTAAATTAATTACTTATATACGTATACAATATACATAGCTCCATAGGTACTTTATATTATGTTACTTGAATTAAATTACGACTTTACGAGTGATAATTAATATTAATGCATTACTTCACCAATGATTCTTTCGAAAGTTATGCAAATTAAGCTTCCGCAAATTGATTTTCTAAACGAAGAAAAAATATATTATAATAACAACATTTACTTGTTTCCGCGTGAAATGAGTGGGATCTATTTTCATTCAGCCAGAGTTCGTGTTTAAAGATTCGGCACCACAGATTTAGTCACACGAGTACTGATGATGCCTCCCACATTTACAAGAATTGTGTTCAGCACTGAGAAAACTCCCTGTACAAATGTAATCCCTTAATAAACCGGTCGTTTGCAATCGCCATAATACATAATATTAATAATATTTTATCTGTGTTCGGCTCCTCTGTGATGAATAGTAGAACTAAACGCCTCTAACGTCGTCGTGATACGACCAAACGCACGCTGAAGTGTACATTTCGGAGCCGACCAGCTCGTATGAATTTCGTTGTATTGTGGTTCACACACTTAATTACCTGGCTTATAAATTACAAGTTACAGTAATCGGATAATTAATATATTACGTCATTTATCGACGAAATTCAACTTGGTATACGACGACAAACACCGATTTTTAAAGAAAGAGAATTAGTACGAAGTACGAAGTACCATAAATAACATTTTTAAATACACACGAAAATGGCCAGCAGTTGTTTTTCATCTAACTCCTAGGATAAAAAAAAATTAACAATTTCGAAATTATTGATCTTGTTCAGCATCTATTTAAATTGTCAAGCATATATTGTAAATTAGCAAGACTCTCCTTAGTTCAAAATTAACATTACACGAATGACACTACCTACATACACAACTTTCCATTCCTTTCCTAGTTAAGACTAACATTTTCAGAATTTTTTTTTTGCAAAAATTTAACTTACCGTTTCCATAAACGCATAGTTTTGTCTTAGTTTTGAAATTCTTCCAACTGAAAATTGAAAAACTAGTAAATTATATCTGCAACTGATTTCGGCTACCTATAAAATACAAAAGAATTTGTCATTTTGATAATCACAATCATTCAATAATTATTTTAAAGTAAATAATTATTATTGAAGTTCGTGCTACTCATTCTTATACGTATGTTATATATCTTGTTCAACAAGATAATGTGATCATAGAAAATTTAATTTTAAATATAAAATTGATTTTCTAATAATATTGTCTAGTACAACTTTTTATACAACCTAGGTATGTAAAATAATTTTAAATCTTGTGTATAATCATAAATCAATAGTACAATCACTCAATACAATTTTTTATCACTTTGTAATACAAACTCACATGTCTAGAATTTCATTATTTTCATCATTTTCACTAGGATATGCATGATATACTTGAGACTGATGTACTTTTTCAATCGGCTCGAGTTCGTGTTTAAAAATTCGGTGTCAATGCTACAGTCACACACACACATTTATGATCTATGGTCTATCTGCCTACCCATTTACAAAATCTTCGCAAAATGTATCTTCACATAGATACGCCTGTTATGAACACAAACACCGTTCGTTTGCAATCATCATAATTCATAACACATATTATTTTATCTGTTTTGACTCGTTTTCCATGAGTAGTATAACGAAACACCTGAAACATCGGCCTGATACCACTAAACATACGTTGAAGTGTCCAATCCAAAGCTGAACAGCAAGGCAGACATTTCGTTATTTATCCTGCTACTTTAGGAAATTGAACAATATGTGAAGTGTTTTTCACGNTGTGTCCATTTATGAGAGGTAATTTTTAATTTGGTACCAGTTTATTGTGTCTACGTCCACTATTAAGAGTGTCCACTACTAAGAGGTTATAACTCCTATTATGCGCATACATTTTTGCCGGGGAATTTAGAAGTGTCCACTATTGGGAAGGGTCCACTATTGAGAGGTGTCCATTAATAGAGGTTTCACTGTATAGCAATTAGAACCAATAAAACTATCTATCACTTTATTCAATTTTTTTTTCTTCTACTATATTTATAATAAAATAATAAAATAATAATAAAGATATCAGACATACGTTAAAATGTTATTAAACCTTACATTCGTTTATTTATCAAAAAAATCTATTATAAGTCATAATCGTTTGCATTAACATTATGAGACTGTAATTATCTCAACATATTTCACACTGTGCTTACATGCCTACAGAATAAAAGTCATACCTGCTTGAAGTATTTTAGTTATTTTTATTTTTTTCACAATATTGAAAATCTATAAATTAAAATATTGGGTATGTATGATACAAAAATAATATCATGATATTATTTAGATAATTTGGAACGGTACACAAATCATTTGTAGTTATACAATTTCTTATCAAACTACAAGAAATCATTTTAAGAGCAGTCATTTAAATATTTAATTTTGTAAATTAGGTACATTATATTATCCATTAAAAAAAGAAACCCCATGATATATAATAATTTATTGTCATTATACATTATAATTTATAATTAATGCTGACAGTCATATGTAAAAAAAATCAACTAATATAATAATATGATCCAGACATTAATCTTAACAATATTGTATTTGCAGTGTTGATTGTTTATAACCATTTCATTGAAACATAATTATTATATATTTTGTATTCCTATTTTATTCCATGGTGATGTTTATTCAACGAAATAAAATATTAAATGGTTTCAAAAGAAAATCAACATGATTACGTATAAAGACGTTAGAAACGCATTCTCCGTTTGTGTGTCTAAATTTTGTTTCGCAAAAATGATTCCAGTACAATTTTCGGCCGTTACAACCAATCATTGGGCGTGATTTAACGATGTTTTCGGGCATTTACAAAACACTTTTTGGCTGCGGTGGTGGAAAATCGAACGCGCTAGAGCCGACGAAATCCG